GCGGGGGGCAGCAGGAGCTGGGCAGGAAGCACTACCAGGGAGTGGCCAACGGCCACTGATTTGCCGATTACAAAGGGAACGCCACCATGTGCGGGAGCGCATGCCGCCTCGTCCGTCGCCGCAATGAGAGACCCACGCCAGCCCCCCGCTGCCGCTGAGCCAGTCCTCCGGACAGGGAAGGCGCGACGCCCCCGCACTGCGCGGCCCGCTGCGGCCCACCGCGGGTCGGCATACCAGGGCACCAGAGAGCAGCCGAAGGCGGCGCTGCCTGCAAGAAACCCCAGCGACCAACGCGTCCATGCGCGGCAGGCTGCGTCTAATGCGAAACACGGGCGGGCGGACCCGCAACGCTGGAGGTCCAGGGGCCACGCGGGACAGGGGGCCCCGGCCCCAGCGGCCGCCCACGCGCCAGCATTGTCAGCCGGCCGCTGCCAGAATCCCAAGGGCGGGGGGCGGCGGGAGCTGGGCAGGAAGCGCGACCAGGGAGTGGCCAACGGCCACTGGTTTGCCGATTACAGAGGGACCCTCACCGAGCGCGGGAGCGCACGTCGTCTCCCCCGTCGCCGCAGTGAAAGACCCCCGCGAGACTTCTGTCAGCTGTTGGGCTCGCCCTCTGGACAGGGAGGCGTCACTCCCCCATGCCGCGTGGCCCAGCGTGGCCCGCAGCTGGTCGGTGTACCAGAATACCAGGGAGCAGCTGAAGGCGGCACTTTCTGCAATAACCACAGCAACCAACGCGCACGCGCGCGGCAGGCTGCGCCCAGCGCGAGACACGGGCGGGCGAACCCGCGATGTTGGGAGGGGCGGGAGGCCCTGAAGGCGGCAGGAGGCCGCCGCAAGGGAGACGCCGCGGGGGGGGGATCGCGGCCCGCCCTGCGCGGCGAGCCGACGCTGGCCTTGGCCCCTGAATGGCCCCGCTCATTCCTGCGCGCGTCGGCCGCGTCTGCGCCAAAGACCCCCGGGGGGTCGTTGGAAGGGCAGCCGCCTGTCGCGTCGCCTGCGGTGTCGAGCGAGGGCGGGAACGAGCTGATTTCCAGGTCGGCGGGGCCCTCTGCTGCATCGCCCGGCGGCGGCGAGGTTGCCGGCTCGGCCTCGTCGACTCCGACCTCGCCGTCGTAGTCGATCCCTTCGCTGCGGGCCTCCTGCTCTGTCGCTCGATCCCTTCGCCGCGGTGGGCGCTGGGCTCGTTGGAGAGCAGGCTGCTCCGGAGGGTCTCTGCCGCCTCCTGCTCTGTCGCCTGACGGGCGCGGTCTGTCTGCGGCGCGGGAGGCTCGGCCCCCCTGGGAGTCGCGCCGCTGGGCAGGGCGCCGGTTGCCTCGTCGGCTGCCGTCGCTGCCCCCCCGGATTTTGGCTGAAGCCATGTCCTCGCGGCTCCCCCCGGGGACGCCGAGCGGGCTTCGTCGATGCCCACAGCCGAGGGAACTTGTCCAGCGAGGGTGGCGACGGAGGCAGCTGCGAGCGCCCCTGGGCCCAAGCTGGCGAGAAAGCTGGCAAGGACGGCGAGGCCGCGGCGGCAGGGACTAGGTCCCTTGCTGAGGGCCAGCCGAGTAGTGAGCCGCCCAGGCCCATTGTGCATGGCGCTGCACAGTAGTGGCCCACCACCCTAGCCGCTGCCCACCTCTGGCCGTCCCAGGAGGAACCCTCCGGGAGGCCGCCTTTTGGGATCTCTGCGCCATCAACCTTCGCCAGGAGAGGGGTCAGCCGGTGCGCGTGCCAGAGCGTTCCCTGACCATTCGGTGCTGGGATCTCAGCGCCGTCTGCCTTGACGAACTCCATCCAGCGCTCGCCCAGCGCGGGATGGTATCGCAATAAAACAAAAGAGAGAAAAAAAAAGAAAAAAAACGAAAAGAAAAAAAAAAAACAAAAAAAAACAAAGAGAAAAGAAAATAAACAAAGAAAAAAAAAAAAAAAAGAGGAAAAAAAAAAAAAAAAAATAAAGAAAAAAAAAAAAATAAAAAAAGAGATAAAAACCGAAAGTAGAGAAATAAAAGAAAATAAAAAAGAAAAAAAAGTAAAAAAAGGGAAAAAAAAAAAAAGGGAAATACAAATAAATATCGAGAAAGGAAAAAATATGAAAAAATGTGTTGCAGTAATAAAAAAAGTAAATACAAAAAAATAATTCCCCGCAAAGGGTAAGGGGGCGACCAGGGTGTGATGGACCTTCAACTTGTTGGTCGCAGTCGCTGTGTTTGGCTCACGTTGCCTCGTCTACGGCTAGCGAGGAGACACTCCTGCAGCTTAGTGCCTCGGGCCTCTGGTTGCGGTAGATCGTCGAGTAGCTCCAGGACCCCTCGGGGACTGTGCGTCTGAGCGGGTCGAAAAAAAGTCGTGTCGGGGCTGGGACCTGCTGCTACGGGATCCACCTCCGTTCGCCGCTGGGGGGCCGGCTGGGGTCTTTGCTCTGCGGGCGCAGGGGTCAGGCGCCTTTGCGTCTGCTGCTGCGGGTGCGAGCTGTGCGGCCCAAGTCGTGTGTGTGGCGTCTGCTGGCGCCTCCTGCGCTGCGTGTACGCGGGCGGGCTGCAAGGCTGTCCGCGGTAAGACCCCCCCGGAGTCCGGTTCCATGATATGTGCCCGGGTTTGCTGGGGCAACGTTCCAGATGTATACTAGCACCTTCGGCAGCACCACGTGGCGTTCCATTTGCGCTCGAACCAGGGGAGTGGCCACTGGCCCCACTCGGGGAGACCCGTGCGCCCATTGCCTCCTGCCTCGGCCTCGGCATTCCAGATGAAACAGCCAAGCGCTGGCGCGTTGACCTTCCACACCAGGAGCGGCCCGTCGGGCGGGCAAGTGTCGCACTGGGGGGATGGGGGGCCGCCCTGTTGGCGCCCCCCCCCCCCCCCCCGAACCTTCTATCTGAGATCCTCTTCGCTGGCAGAGTAGCGTCGGCGAGCCGTGGGCAGTACTGGGCAGGAGAAATCATCAGGAGGTCGCTCAGCGCCCTGGCGCCCCAGGCGGGGGGGTCGCGTCCGTAGCCCAGGGGCCGCAGGCAGGGGCGCGGGGGGAGAGCGTTCGCGATGGGGTCGGCGGACCGACCGTTCTTCCAGGACGCGTAGTCCAGGACTTTGGACGCGACGGCCGTGCCTGCTGGACTTGGGACGCCCGTTCTGTTGAGGCTGGCTACCCAGCAGGTCTCGCACAGCCAGGTGAGGTTTTGCACGTCCAGGTATGCCTGAGGCCTGTTGCTGGCTAGAAGGTTCCCTACCGGCGTCGTCCTCCCAGGTCCCTTCACTGTAATTGAGCTTGGTCGTACGGCAGACGTCGCAGGTGAAGAGTACGCTCTTCTGGTCGTTCTGCAGTCCGTCGCCGGTGATGGCGAGGGGGGTCGGCATTGTGCCGGGCGCGGCGGTTGCTGGCGCGGGCGAAGCCAGGTCGGTCTTGGAGAGAGCGGTTCCTCCACCGACGTACCCCAAAGCGGCGTCGGCCTTGTCTTCTCCCAGGCCAACCTCGGAACCGGCCAGGGCAAAGTGGAGCGCGCAGGTGGAGCACTTGTAGGATGCCAGCGGGGCGAGATCGGCCCCTGGTACGATCGCTTCCAGGACGAGTATAGGAGCCTTAAGTTTGAAGTCGGCCTTCTCCATATCCTTCCAGGTCCGTGGGCATCCAGCCTCCTCCGCCACATCGTGATGGTAAGCGTTCGTCGAGACCTGGGTGAGCGCGTCCTCGATTTTCCCATGCAGCTCCACGAAGTCGTCCGGCGAGAAGCCCCACGCCGCTGCGAAACTCTGCCCGAAACCCAGGTGCGCGTCCTGCCAGGGCACGCGGAGACCGAGCACGGCCTCGATGACGTCGCCAGCGCCTTCGGCGTTGGGGAAGGGCCATAAGAGCGTCCTGGGCTCTCTTATCACGAGCATCATGATGACTAGGAGTGCACGGGCCTTCCGGGCGTCCAGGGGTTGGCCGTCCGTGTCCTTGAGCCTGTTGCGTAGCTCTTGGTCTCGGGGCGCTGCGCGCAGCAGCTGCGCCAGAGTGTCCATACCAGGGTGCGCCTTGTGGCGACAACAGCGGCGTGTCGTGTTGCTCCACGCCTCCGGAACAATTGGTGGGGATACGCAAAGCGTCAAGAATTGCGACGATTGGCGCTGAAGCTCGAAAGCCAGACCCCGAGAACATACTGATTGCAAAATCGGTGCGGCGTAAGCCAATGAATATGCGTGCGAGTTTCCACCCTGGGGGGCCCGCCGTGACTCCCGCCATGCAGGCTCGATAACCATTCCGTTTCCCAACACATTCTAAAGCCAAGAGCCCACAACCACAGACAACCGATGCAACAGACACAGCCCCGTGCAACGAACTACGCGCAGCCCGCTCAGTTTTCGAACAGCCGTTCCTCGGCCGATTGAAAGACTGCGCGACCCAACCCACTGACCAGACCACCGTGGACTCTACAGGCCACGCGCCTGGCCTCCCAGCCCGTGGCCGCGGAAGCACCGACGCCTCCTCGCCGCGGCCCCTGCGCAGCAGCACCCATCAACGCCGCAATTCGAGTAGGGGACCGACTACAGAATCGATGCACCCCAAACTTGATTTTTTCTCGTCGAGCCGCACGTGGAGCAGATCCACGAGGAAGCTGCGCATTCCCGTGGGCTCGGCGAACAAATCCATTCTGGGGGAACTCTATTCTTTGGCGGCGCGCACAAGGGGGTGGAGGGAGGGGGGAGGGCTTCTTAGAAGGAGGCTGCTTCTTAGAAGGCGCCGCCTCACATCTGTAGATAAGGCCCGCGCCCCTAAGAAGCGGGGGTGCTTCTGAGAAGCCTCCCCCCTCCCCCCACCCCCCTCTGCGCGTGGCTGAATTCTGTACTCGATCCCCTACTCGAGCACTGAGGCGCCCTGCTCCTCCTCCTCCTCCTCCTCCTCCTCCTCCTCCTCCTCCTCCTCCTCCTCCTCCTCCTCCTCCTGCCTCCCCTCCTCCTCCTCCTCTCCTCCTCCTCCTCCTCCTCCTCCTCCTCCTCCTCCTCCTCCTCCTCCTCCTCCCCCTCCCACTCCGTCCCCCGAGGCGCACCGCTCCGCGGCCGCGTCGCGCCGCCCGATCCAGCGCAGCGCGACGGCGAGGGCGGCGAGGAGGTCGGGGGCCTCTCGGCGGGGCAGGGAGGCAGAGGGCGGGGGGCCGACAAACACACAGATACGTAAATACACACAAATACAAAGATGCCCCATATTTCCCCATGTTTTCTCTGGGTTCTTGTCGTCCCCCCCCACACTTCCCAAACTTTCTCATACTTTCTGCGGAATCGCCGATGAGTTGTGTCTGTGTGTCTTTTTCCCTCCTGACAGAGGGCGGGGGGCCGACCGCAGCAGAGAGCGCCTGCATGCGCGGATGTCGGCGGCGGGCGAGGGCGGGGGGGGAGGGGGAGGAGGCGCGGAGTGCGGGGGGGATGCGCCGGATCGAGGCTCCCAGAAGAGCGGAGCTGCGGATCTCTCCCGTCTCAACGCCTCTCCGGGCCCCGGGGAAGGGGGCCAGGAGAGGCGTGAGAAGCGTGCCGCATGGAGGCCTTCGTGGCCCCGAGAGCGCGGACCACTTGTATTCTCACGTGCCACGAGAGAATGGATACGAGTTGGCCCCTGCGGGCCGGCGAAATGCGCGAGGTCGCTGCGTGCATGCATTTACGCACGCATCTTCTCACTCTCGGGCGAGCGAGGGGGAAATGAGAAGGAAAAGGTCTTCACAGAAGTCAGCGGAACTTCTCAGAAGCCCTCGCGCCTTCTGAGAAGTTGTTTCTGTCATCGGGGAAGGCTTGGAAACCTTCTCAGCAGAAGGCCGGAGGGTTTACGAACCTTCTCAGAAGGCCTTCTCTTTCTCACTTCCCCCCCTCGCTCGCCGCCGACACTCTCCTCCATCATCCTCCACCTCAACATCTACCTTCGAAGGCTAACACGACTGAGGCTCGCAGGGGGGCCGCCGAATGCAATCGAACGCCCCCGAAGAGCAGGCACCGCCGCCCCACTTGTTCCCAACCATCATGTGGCGTTGGGTCCTCGTTTTGAAGAGACGGTCCCCGCGTTCCCTCCTTCCTTCCTCCCTCCTCCTTCCCCCTCTTTCCTCCTCCCTGCGTTTCACCCACCCAGTACAGCGCTTCGTGGCCCCATAGAGAGCTCCACCGAAGCCCCCAGTGGGACAGCCCGCATGCGCCCCGGAAAGCAAATTTGGCATTTTCACCCACCCATTACAGCGCTTCGTGGCCCCATGTTTCTGGGACGCATGCGAACGGTCCCACTGGGGCTTCGGTGGAATTCCCCATGGGGCCACGAAACGCTGTACTGGGTGGGTGAAAATGCCAAATTGGGTTTCGGTTTCCGGGACGCATGCAGACGGTCCCACTGGGGGCTTCGGTGGAGCTCCCTATGGGGTCACGAAACGCTGTACTGGGTCGGTGAAAATGCCAAAGTGGGCTTCCGGGACGCATGCGGGCGGTCCCACTAGGGGCTTCGGTGGAGCTCCCTATGGGGCCACGAAGCGCTGTACTGCGTGAATGAAAATGCCACATTTGGCGCACACACACACACACACACACACACACCTCATACGTTTCGTGGCCCCATAAGGAGCTCCACCGAAGCCACTAGTGTAACGGCCCGTATGCGTCCCACACACCAAATTTGGTGTTTTCACCCACCCAACACAGCGCGCTTCGTGGCCCCATAGGGAGCTCCACCGACGGCCCCAGTGCTGCCACCCGCATTCGTTCCCCCCCACCCATTGCAGCGCTTCGTGGCCCCATAGGGAGCTTCACCGAAGAAGATATTCACAGTCTCGGCACCCACAACTTCACATGGCTGGGTCCTTCGCCAGGATAATTTAGGGCCTGGTCGCTGCTGCCAGGACATGGAAGGATCGTGCAAGAACGCAAGCTGAGGAGGGTACGGAGGAAAACCCAGAGAGGAGGCCGAGGCTGGGGAGGACAAAGTGCTGAGAGGACAGAGGAGGCCCAGGAGGGGCAGTTCGAAGCAGAGGTGGGAACTGAAGAGGCAGAGCTACTTGGACGCGCATTGAGCCCACAAAGAAGAGTCACGGCGGGCCCCCAGGGGGAAGCTTGCATTCAGATGTTGCAACCCGTGCGTGCTAGAGATACTGCCTCGACAAAGGTCGGTACCAATCGTTGCGATGTTTCGTCGCGGCGTATTTGCGCCTCTTGGGGGCTCAGGCGGGCTTGGAGGCCAGCTAAGGGCCTTTTTGGGTCCATGGGGCACGACGTGCGTGAGGGGCGTGCCGAATTGAGACTCCAAAGCGAAGACGTCTCGAGCGAATCTGTCATTATTAAGACTCGGCGTCCCCTCCGAGGCTTATTAGTCGAAGATGTCCCCAGCGAAAATGCCATGTTTGAAAGTCAGACCCCTCCGAAGCTGAGTTGTCGAGGATGTCTCGAGCGAAACGGCAATTTGAGAATCAGAGCCTCCTCCGAAGCCGGTCTGTCGAGATTGTCAAGCGAAACTGCCAGTGGAAGCCATCAGAACTCACGTTTTACGTGTCCCGAGAGAATCGAGCAGCGGAATCCGCGAAACCCTTCTCAGCATGCCTATATGCACGCTTCCCACCCTCCGCCCACCATCCTCCATCCAATCAATTGTCTCTCGAAGGTGAACACGGCCAGGGCCCGCAGGGGGGGGAGGCTGCCGAATTGGGCCCGCAGGGCAGAAGCCACGGCGGACCCTCAGGGGGAAGCTTGCACGCGGATCTTGCGGCCAGTGGGTGCTAAGGATGCTGCCTCCACGAGGGTCGGTACCAATCGTTGCAACGTTTCTTGGGGGCGTATTTAAACCCCCCAGGGGGCTCAGGCGGGCTTGGAGGCCAGGTAGAATCCCTTTTGTGGGTCCATGGGGCACGACGTGCGTGAGAGGTATGCCGAATGGAGGCTCCAAGGAGCCGTCTCCGGGGCCAGCTGAGCGCCCAACATTCACGAAGTGCTTGAGGAGTGTGCCGAATTGAGGTTCCCATCGACATGGAAGGGCAAGCCACTCAAGCCTCGAGGCCCACATCGCCTTTTTTCCGTGTCCCAAGAGCCTGGGACACAGACCACTCGTACTTTCACGTGCCCCACTAGAGAGTGGGGCAGGAAATGCGTGAGGGGCGTATAGAATTGAACCCTTCGTGGCCCTCGAAGCGCAGCTCACTCGTATTTTTTCACGTGCCCCAGTAGAGTGTAGAGCAGGTAATGCGTGAGGGTTGTCCTGAAATGGGAGTGTCGTAGAAATGAAGGCGCTGCTCCCTCGTAGCCGTGGGGGCGTATCTCACTCGTCACCGCGCGTGGGCCTCGCGCTGGGAGCACGTGTCCCGGGTTTTCAAACGTGTCCCAAGACTTGTTGATGAAATCAGCTGGCGGGGACCAGCGGAATGGGCAAAGCCCCTCTCGGCATGCCTTTATGCATGCCATCTCACTCTCCTCCACCATCCCCTCTTTCATCATCTACCCTCCAAGGTTACAGCACGGCGTAGGCCCGCAAGGAGCCCGCCGAATTCTACCGCATCGCTCATTCCGCCAGCTTATACCCGCATCACTGTGGGCATCTGGTGATGTTGGGAAGTGCCACGGGTGAGACGGTATGACCAAGAGGGGTCCTACAAGCGAGCGCGTCGTTCCGCGTGCATGTGAACCTCTTGGGGGCATCTCGAGGGGTGTCTTGGATCATCCTGGGCCTCCCTGGGAATATGTTGGGGCCTGTTGGGGCTGTCTTGGGGGCATCTTGGGGCCTGGCACCACGAGATCCTAAGTCTTGTGCCGCTCTGGGGCTCCATGGAAGCTCTCTGGGGCCTCTCCTGGCGCGCTCTCGCAGGTAGTCAGAAGAACGGGCCTCATGTGCGGCCACGGTGGGCCAGTTCGCATGGCGGCGCCGCGAACACTTCGGCGCACCCCTCACGCGGATCAGGCCCCACAAGGGGCCCCAGCGACGGCCCCCATGGCTCACTTCGCATGGCGGCGCCGCGCCTGCTTCACCCACGCCCCAGGTGGGCGCGCCCGCGGGCCCCTCGCTCCGTCCCGCGGCGCCCAGGGTACGAGGAGAGCGCGCGCGCAGCTGCACGAGGCTGGGCCCTTGGACAGGCCATCTCTGTGTCCCAAGTGGCACTTGCGCTGGAGGCGTCTTGGGGAATCGGCGGCGAGCCCAGGGGGTGAAGCGTGGCGGGGCGGGCCTTCTCAGAGGGCTCGAAGCCCCCCATCCTTGTGAGAAGTTTTCTAAGCCTTCCCCGAAGACACAGAAGACCTCGCAGAAGGCCCTCTGCCTTCTGAGAAGCCCCTCTGCCTTCTGAGAAGGCCTTCCCCTTTTCACTTCCCCCCCCCCCTCGATCGCCGCTGACTGGAGGCGTCTTGGGAAGACTTGCCTCCCGTTGTCGTCAGCTGCCTCAGCTCGCACCTGACCCACGCCATCGGCGCGGGCCGCTCACCTGCACCGACGGCGCTTTGGGAAGAACTGCCTCCCGTTGTCGTCAGCTGCCCTGGCTCGCCCCTGACCCATGCTGCCCCCCGCTCTGGTGCTGCCCGCCGTCGCAGCCGAGGCTGGTTGGCCACAGGACTCGTCCCCACGACCGCCCCAGATCCCTGGTGATGACCTGCCGAAAGCGCCGAACTCTGAGGTCTGTGCACGGGCGCGTTTGCTGGTCCCGCACCGACGCTCGCACAGGACTGCGGATCCTGGTGCGTACGGGATCCTGGTGCAGACATGCTTGGCTCTCCCCGGGGAAGCGGGGAAACAAGTGTACAACACACCACCCCGAAACCGCCCCCGACCCTTAGAAAGTCCTGGAATTGAAGAACAGCCCGCCACTGGTAATGTATATGCTTTGACTGCCTTCCTTTGCCGCCACTGTCCTTGGTCCGGCCTCGTCCCCGGCTGTCCGCGGTCCTGGTGCTTGCACGCCCGAAATGGGTACGGAAGAAATGGGCACGATGCCCAGCAACAGATGCTGACCAAAACCGACAGCGGCCGCCGTTGGGCAGGCGGCCTTCCGTCTCGAATGGACAAGGCCAGAGGCGGCATGGACAGTAAGCACTGTTCTGAGCGGGCGATGAACGGTATCAAATAAACTGTTCTGCCGTCGGGACGCCTGCCCCATGGCGGCTAGAAAGTTTATACCCCGACGTGCCACTGCAGGGTATAAATATTCCAGTCGCCCTGGGGCAGGCGTCCACGATGGCGGAAAGGATTATGTTATACCGTTTCCCCTAATGTTCCACATGATCAGAAACTGCTGTTGGGCATCGTACCCATTCTTTCAGCACCCATTTCGATCGTCCCGACTGGCGCGCCATCCGAAGCTGATCATTGTGGTGGCCTGGCCATGTCCGCGGTCATGGTGCCTCCCTCTCGGGGCCAGCCAGGGGTGGAGGAGGATCAAGGGGGGGGGGACATCATGGCTGGGGCCGTGATATCTCCCCGGATTTCATGGCCCGTTCTTCGCCTCCTCCTCCTCCTCCTCCTCCTCAGCATCATCATCATCATCATCATCACCACCACCACCATCATCATCATCATCATCATCATCATCATCAGCATCATCATCATCAGCATCATCATTTCCTCCTCCTCCTCCTTTCCTCCTCCTCCTCCTCCTCCTCCTCTTCCTCCTCTTCCTCCTCCTCCTCCTCCTCCGCCTCCGCCTCCGCCTCCGCCTCGTCTTCCTCTTCTTCTTATGGTAAGTAGTGTTCTTATTATTAGTCGGCTTATTATTGTTCGCAGTAGTATTGTTATCCGTATTGTTCCTATTAGTAGTATGACCATGATTATTAAAAGTAATGTTACTCTCTTCTGATTGCTACTAGTCCTCTTCTTCTCCTCGTCCTCATCCTCGTCCTCGTCCTCGTCCTCGCCCTCCTCCTCGTCCTCGTCCCCGTCCTCGTCCTCGTCCTCCTCCTCATCCTCCTCC